GCTTATCTTTTTTACTTTAATGTCTGTCTCAGCCCCTTAGCCCACTGCCTAGAACATTGTGGAGACATGATAAATGCTTGTTCAACTGAACTGAATTGAATCTTCTAAACACGACCTCAGCTCCAGCCCAGGAACTGAATGTTTTCTGTTCTCGGACTGGATGGTGATGCGATTTCACCCTTTCTGAGCTGTCTAGTTTGAGTTTGCCAGTTTAGAAAGAAAGCCAACAAGGAAGAAGCCTTCAAAACTCACATTACATTAAAGGTTTGGTAAAACTCAAAAGCTTAATTGTCCCTATTTGGACTATTTGATGACAGGCATTGGCAATATTGTAGAGGTGTTGGTTCAGCTTTCTTCTGTACACACATGCACACACACACACACACACACACACACACATTGCTGGCTTACATTGTATTTAGAAGCACTAGGATTGAGCTCAGTGTAGCATAGGAATAATTCAGAAGGAAATAAAATTTCCCCCCAGAGGAAGGGCCCGGGGAGGATACCAGTTGTAGTTGCTATATAATGGATTCTGATTCCTGGAAGCCCCACATGTGTCAAAAGGGCAGTTTTTGCCACATGGTTGTCAATAACCTTTATTTGTTTCTTTCAGAAGAATATCGCCAGGTCTGTCTTTCAAGGGACCCCTAGGTGAACTCAAATCACCAACCTATGGTTTAGCACTGGCTGTTTACCTTTTGTTCCGTCTAGGCACTCCTTCGGGAGGATAAACCCACTGACATTGAGTTAATTGTGACTCATAGTGACCCCATGTAGCATTTCCAAGATGGTAAATCTTTACAGGAACAAAAATTCTCATCTCTCTCCCAAGGAAGTGGCTGGTGGGTTTAGGCCATCAGCTTTGTTGTTAGCAATGTTGCCAGGTTCTTTCAGGGACGATGGGTGAGGGGAAATCTCAGTATAAGATTTTAAAAACTTTGCTTAGGCTGGAAGGAAATACAAACAGCACGTAGAGACCAGGATTCAGGAATAATACTAGAGTTCAACCCACAGATAGAAGGCAGAGGATTTGGGAGAAGGACCCTGGCAGTTTGTCTCCACCAAAACTGTTTGATAAAATTATTATTATTATTATTATTATTATTATATCTGTTAGTCACCATCAAATCCATTCTGATTCATGTTGACCAATGTGTTTATCTTTTTATAATAAATGGTTTAGCAAGTAATTCATCAGATATGAAAAATGACCAATATAGAGAATATACAGAGGCAAGGAAACTCTGGAACCTAGAATATGTCTAATGATATCTTCCAATTCCTCTTTGCCTGCAGCACAAGTTTTAGTGAGGGCGGAGTGAATCTAGGACAGGGGTCACAACTTGGGGGCCTCTCATAGCCTTATATCATATAAAGTATTAACTTTAGACTTTTTTCTACTATAATTTTCTAAGGCCCCTATTTCCAGGCTAAAAATAGAATGTGTAACTTCCACAAGCTAAACAAACAGAAATAAGGTAGGAGTGGGGGGGAGACTTAAGAAGGAATGAAGTATGAATAAAAAATAAGGTTATTAAAAATGTACAAGAAATGAAGAAAATGAACAAACAGAAGGCAAAAACCAAAACGGTCTAAATGAATCCAATCTAACAATAAGCACAATCAAGATAAATGGATTATATTCTTCTTCTGGAAATCAAAGGTAGTGAGACTAGATTTTTAAAACCCAAACCCAACTCTAAATTTTTCAA